TGTCTCTCCATGAAGACGCTTGATGCCCTGGAGGGTGTAATGCAGCACCATGTTATCTTTGATGGTGTCAGGGAAGCCGCTTTCAATGTTCATGCGGAGTATAGCTGCTAGGTATACTTTAATTGACCGATATGCAAGGCCTTGTGAGGCCAAGTATGTGATGAAGAGCACTGTGGATTGCTGAGTTAGCGGCAGCGGGGTTATGCCATGGCTGTGACAGAAATTGGTGTACTGGAACTGCCCAGTATGGTATGTTCTTCTCGTGTTCAGCGCAATGCTATGATCAATATAGTGGTGAGCTTGCCTTACAAGGTTCTGAAGGTTTCCAGTTGTGGTGGTCATATGACGTCCAGCTGGCGTAGATCTGGAAACTTGGTTGGGTATCGATCCGCTTGCGGTGCCAGGCTGCGAAATCTGGAGATCTGTTGACGAGATAGAGAATCAGCAATCTCATTGTTGATACCTTTAATGTGTGTAACCATAACATAGAAATTGTTCTGAGCTGCCGTGAAGAAAATACGTCTGATGAGGTGCATGATGCGAGGGCAAGGTGTCGACCCTTTCTTCCAGATCTGTACAACTGACAAATTATCACAATGAAATAAAATACGCCTCCCATGCAAGAGATCGCCCCAAATTAGGCAGGATAGTAGGATGGGAAGAAGCTCTTTCCAGGCGATTGATAGGGTAGTGTCTGATGAAATGTATGTTGGCCATGTGGCTGAGATCCACTGTCCTTGGAAAAACGCACCAAAACCCAGAGTGGCTGAAGCGTCAGTATAAAGATCTATATCAGCTGCTGATGTCCAGTTTGATGCAAGCAGTGGTGCCGTGCCATTCCAGCTGGGTAAATAATCGCACCACCATTTAACATCTAGTCGAAAGTCCTCTGTAAGTTGTATGGTGTCTTTGAGGTTGGGAACTGATGTACTAATGTTGATCATACGCCTGAGAAATATGCGGCCAGCTGGAATGCACTTGCATGCAAAACTAAGAGTTCCAATCAGGGAGAGTAGTTCACGTTTTGAACACGACTTGCGATAGAGCCAAGTTGGTAATAATGATGATAAGTCACTGAATTTATCACTTGGGAGCCTGATGACCATGTCAACAGTGTCCAACTCGACACCTAGAAACGTTATTGTTGTAGATGGGCCTTCTGTTTTGTCAGTAGCAACCGGGACTCCTAGTTCTTGGCAGGTATACAACATTTTGTCTATGTTTTGCTGGCACTGGCTTGTATTTGGAGGCCCAACAGTAAGGTAGTCATCAAGGTAGTGCAAGATGTCTGTAGAGCCAATGCGATGTGCAACTATCCAGTTAATGGCGTCTGCTAGTTGGTTGAATAGGTATGGTGCAGAGCGTAATACAAATGGTAACACACGATCAAAGAAATAGTGACCTTCCCAGTAGTAGCCCAGAAGGTGCCAGTCTTGTTTCCTCACTGGACATAGACGAAAGGCATGTTTAATGTCCATTTTTGCCAGTAGTGTTTGTGGGCCATAATTGTTAATCATAGCCACTGCATCATCAATACGGGAGTATGATAGGGAATGATCTTCCCTGGAGATGTTAAAGTTGACACTTTCAAACTTTGGCTGTGACAGATCCATAATTATCCTATAACCACCGTTTTTCTTTGGACGTAATCCAAGAGAGTTCACCACAAAATTTGGTAATGGAGGTTTCTGAAAGGGTCCAATTGTGTGCCCTAGTTGAAGTTCTTTATTTATGGAAGCTGTAATAAGAGCAGGGTTTAAGAGAGCTGACTTAGCGTTTTTTGTAAAGCGTGGATAATGCTTCCCTGTGAAACCAAGATTAGCACCATTGATGATGAGTGACAGTATTGAGGCAACAAATGATTTGTTTGGATGACTATGTAAGGCTTGTGCAAAAGCCTCAGGCTTGAGTGGTGTTTCTGGATGAATTGTTCGAAATATGTCCATTTGCAGAATTCTGTCGACGAAAGGGCTGGAATGGTGGTGGTTGTTGGTTGGACTGGAATTGGCCACGAAAAAGCTGATTTCCTTCTTCTTCTGGTGTGCGATGGAATGTTGCTGAATGGCTTGTAGAGTGACAAATGTTACATTTGTGAATGCGGTTGTGGCGACATGGAGTGTTGCAACGACCACGGTTGAAATCTCTGCAGACGTTGTTATTGTTAGAACTTTGATTTGTTATATTGTTGTTGACCCAGCGGTAGGGGTCTTGCCATCGAGTACAGTCTTGGCGCATATGTCCCTTTTTGTGGCAGTTGGAACAAACTGGAATTAGTAAATGAAGATTCTGCTGGAAATGTGCATAATCTAGCTGTGCATTTGGGATACTCCAGTTCCGCAAATCGGGATAGCGGGCATGATCAAGGCGAAATTCTTTGTCATAAGCCAGCCATGCCTCTGGTTTGAAAGTCTTAGCCCTACGTGCTATGTGACGCTGGTAATTAAACAAATGGACTGCTTCTTCTGGATGGTAATAAGCCCTGTAGGCCGCAAATGTTGACCAGCAGTCTAGCCAGTCATTGAAGTCTGCTATTTCGTTACGTTTCGCCTGAGTGGAGAATACTGCTACTGACGGATTGTCTGGGTCAAATGAAATGTGTGTATTGGACGTTCGCGTGGAATTAGGCTTCAAAACATCGGGGTGTAGATCTGAAAAATCGGTGAACTTACCCCTGTTTGAGAGTGAGTTTAACAACTGTTGATCGACAAATGGCAGATGCAGGTTCGCTGGAGGAATTGTAGCAGAGATCGGCTTTCGGAGTTACTGTAATGCTGGAGTTTTGCTGTTGTGTGGACGCCATGTTGGAAGTTGAACTGTTGTTTACTTGACCGTTGACCTCTGTTGCGCCCCCTATGGGCGGAAGATGTGGTGTATTCACCAAATGCATGATCGGCTGGTTTTCTAGTTGCCGTACTGGGTGCTCGGCTACGATGTTCGACGCAGTAGTTGGTATCGATGAGGTACTAGCTGGTTGGAATGGATTGTTTTCTGAGCTCTGCCTACTGATCATGGCTTGGAGTGGTTGATTATTTTGGACGTGATGTTGAGGTTGCTGCAGGCTGCGAACCAGTTCGGCCAAATCGTTCCGACTCATTGCGACAATGTCGTTTGCAGGTCCTGTGTCGACTGTGGAGTTGCTGGATTGGTGTAGGTCTGGTGGGCTATTTAAAGATTGTTCTGAAGAATCGACATATCGTGATGGTCTGTGTTTTCCGTGAAGGTCTTCCGGCGCCACGTCCTCTGTTACCGCGACCGCGACCAGGCATATTGGCTGGCGAGAACGTTAAAAAGTAACTTACGTAAAAGTAGGCAAGCGGTGTAATAACTTCGAGTTAGAATGCCGGCTGCGTGAAGGATTGCTGATTTCTGGAACGGACCGATGTGGACTCGTGTAGAATCGAGAGTGAACTGATTAGCTAAGGTTTTAGGTGGCTATTTAAGCCAAATGATAAAATGCCAAAGGTCAGTGTTAATCCCCAAGCGACGCGATGGTTAAGACTGTGTGTGCTTGAATGAAATGCCAAAGTTCAGCCTAAAGTCTCATTATGCAAAACAATAGGTGTTGGGATTAAATACTGTGTCCAGTGTGCATTAACACTGGTTACAAAATATATGCATATTTGTAACCAAATAATTAAATATTTTTCAAATTCTTTTAGATGATCCTTGTGAAACCACCCCTTGTATTAATTGTACTGGGTATGCTGAGGAATTTGATTGCCATTGTGTGGCTGGATTCATTTTTTATGATGGGCTTTGCCAAGGTAAGGTAATGTAATGTAATATATAGTCTTGCCTGAAATCAATGTAGTGTTCCACTTGCTTTTTGCCATTTTGTCCGTGCCTATATAGCTGCCAGTAAATGCTGCAAGCGGGGAATTCCCCATAATCAGTAATCTCAAATGACATTGTTCACATTCCCAAACAACCAAGCCATTCTTATGTGAATAGCCGACTACTGTTTACTTAAACAGTGTAGCTAGGCATAGGTGGAGTGGCCTATAGTGATTGATACCACATACCAGTACCGGTACATGCAATGACAGCATGGCAAAATACAGTTTTGATGATCACACTAGAAAAGACACAAGAGAATCAGGGGGGACCCTAAGCTTTAGTGTGCAATCGTCTTAGTTGACTATTTCATGATATTGGGTTATGTGGTGCTTGAGTGAGGGCGCCAACTATGGAGACTGCTTGTAGACATCATTGGATCTGTCTCCCATGAACAGTCTTAATTACTGACTCATCTCGAGATGTGGGCAATGTGTTGTAACAAAGTTTTGATTCTCTGTGTTTGATACGCCAAGTGGGACGTGGAAAGAGTACATACAAAATAAAATAAAATCTGAGATGATGGGTGGGTGAAAAGATAACTTGAAAATGTTCACTGTGTGAAACAGGAATTGTAATTGAATTGGGCAATTTGACAACAGTAACACTAAGGAATGCGTTATGTAATTGTAATTGGCCAAGATATCAAAATGCATAAATATGCACCAGGTCAGCGAATAATTCATGAAGAGCTACATTATTATGAGTGGGAAC